CCCCTGCTTGGCCGCCTGCGCCCCGGGGAGGCTGCCCGCGCGTGACGGGACCAGCAGCATGAGCAGCGGCTACAGCAGCCTGGAGGAGGACTCCGAGGACTTCTTCTTCACCGCCAGGACCTCCTTCTTCAGGAGAGCGCCCCAGGGCAAGCCTCGTGTTGGCCAACAAGTGAGTGGTGCGCGCGGGGTGGCCCGCGGCCCCATCGCTCCCGGGGGTCCTGCGGTTCCTCTCCTCCTGACTTCACGAGGCTCCGTGGGGGCCCGCGGGGATGCTCCTCGGGTAGAAGGAGGCCTCGGAGAAGTGGTTTCTACCTCTTTGAATCCTGAGGACTTGCTTTGAGTTTGTGCATGTGGGTGTGGGAGTGTTCACATAGGTCAACCTGGACGAGGGAAGGAGGAGGAAGAACGCGGAGGCTGAGGCGACCGCGTCTGCCTTCCGCGCCAGATGGCCTCTGCGGCTCTGCCTCGGGGCTGCTTGTGGCCGCCGCCCTCCTGGCGGAGCCCGGGCGCTTAGCTGGCTGCGGGGGAGCAGTTCCCCGGGCCACTCCCGGCGTTTCCTCCGTGTCCAGGGAACGCCCTTCGCGCCCCTCCTGCATTAACGGTTGGGTCGGCGTGCCAGCCCTTACTGTTGGTCTTCTCAGTGGCCTGTGGCTCTCTGATTGGCTTGAGGGGGTTGGGTAATAGGTATAGAGGTGGCTGCAGTGACCTGGCCGGCCCTAACTTCTTGGTCCGGGCGCGTCTGAGGAAGACCGAAGGAATCGCGGGGCATTGTAAATGTTGGTTGCATGAGTCAAAGTCGTGCGTTTCCTGTGAAGTCAGGTTTATAAGTGCCTACAATGTTTTGCAAAGTTCTGGGGCTAGGTAAATATTAGCGCTCGAGCTAAGCTTTAGGCTGGTTTCTTCCATTTTTGGAGGAAGCATGCCGTGGGAAGCTTTGACTTGGGAAAAGATGGAAAGGGAGCTTGGGCGGGTTTTGCCGACCGTGACAGTGTTTTTTAGGGAGGCCTTCCCAAAACAGCACTTCGGCGGGACTTCCAAGTCTGGCACTTGAACCCTTCTGGCCCTGGGAGCTGCACCAGGGAGCCCTGCCAACCCAGTCATGCTCACATCAGATTAGAGAAGGCTATAATGGAACAAATTTGTTGCTTTTAAAGAACAGCAGGCGCGCACAAAACATTTCTAACAGATTTAGTCCTGCAGACTAGAAGCGAGAAAAATCGTTCAGGGGCCCGGATGATGAGTTTAGGGGGTGGTGAGGCAGCAATTTGTCAGGGTTTCCTTGCCAGAGCTTTTAAGTTTATTTAACCACATTCATAGCTCAAATTTCTTTTTTTTCTTTCTTTTTCCTTTTTATTGTGATTTGGGTGAAAATTTACAGAGCAAATACACTTTCCAAAATACAGCATTTCACATACATTTTGTCTCATGACATTGACCACAATTTACTATAATGCAACCTCTCCTCTCCTACTTCCTCCCAATAGTTACCTCTTCCCAGTGTCCATCCCTCCATGCACTCCTGCCCCCTGAGCTGTCTCCCTGTGCTTAGGCAGCCCTTCTTTCTCCCATGATTGTTCTCTCCAAGGAGTGTATCTACCTCAGGTAAATGTTCAACTCATATGCCTGTCTATTGTTTGGATGGAAGCCACGGGCGTGCATTCAATTCCAGACCTGAAGGGCAGCTAGGGGCCATAGTCTCAGTGGTTCCGCCAGGCTCTAACGGGCCAGCAAACCTGTTAAATTTCTTTTTAAGATTCGGAAGTTCTAGTCTTTTCAACCTCTTTAAGTTCCAAACCAGGAGGGGAAGAGGGGACAGCAAAGGGCAAGAGCGAAATCTAGTGTGCTTATTCGTTAACAGCAGTTAATCGAAAGTGATGTTCAAGTGTAGTAGTTTTCCCATCTTTGTTGTTTCTGAGGCTTAAGGCTGCACTATTTATTAGTCACTTTGATTAATCTCTTATTTTCAGTGGAGTGTATTTTAATGGCTGAGATTGCGGAAAGTTTGGAAGCCAGACCTGCCTCCCTCCTCCATAGGTTGTAGAATTGTATTTCCTTGTACTTTTTTTTTTTCTTGGCAGTCATTGCTCTCTCTAATTTCTTTCCTTTCTCCCCTCTGTGTTTTCTCCTTCCACTTATGTTGTTACCATTTGATATGCAGTTGTCAGAGATGATTATAATAGTTTGAAGTTTATTCCAGAGATGGCTAGTCATCTCTAGAAATTTGCTGGTTCTTGGATTCTTCTGGTGTGAGACGTTACTTGACAGGGTCAGAGTATCCAGATTGGAATCGAATGGGAATCCTTCAGTGCTTTAAGATAAAAGCATCATCTTTTTTCTTCCTAGGTGTGTGTGTGTGTGTATACATACACAGTGTTTTTCATGTTACACTCACTAATTTATGTAATATTCATTTAGCATATATATTATGCTCATTCACATAATGTTTGTTCATTGAGTATTTAAAACTAGTCTAGAGTATTAAGTATTTTCAAGTATTGTGCTGGAAAATCAGGATAGTAAAACCTAGTTCTTTGCTGAAGAGATACTACCTGTATTCTGAAGCTTTGTTGCCAGTTTATTTTCCCTTTTAATATAACACTTGCAAAGTGCCTAGATACAGGACTTAATTGACAGGTGAAGAAAGTGTTCTAAACTTTGACACTTAGAAGGGAAATTTATTTTATTCAAGGAAGTGACTGAGTAGTGAGTCTGTTACATTCTTGATAAGATTTTTGAGTTAAGTAAAACATGATAAATATGAAGCAAAGCGCACTTCTTTTTTTTTTTTTTTTAAAGCTTTAACAGTTAGTTTGTTTTCTCACAGTTAGGAGGCTAGAAGACCTAATTCAGGGTGCTGGCTTCTAGGGGAAGGCTTTCTCTCTGCGGCTCTGGAGGAAGGTCCTTGTCTTGTCTTTCTGAGCTACTGCTCCTTGGCAGTCTACATGTAGCTTGACATCTCTCTTCCCCTAGCAGGGCACTCTTAATGCAGAAAATTTCATTCACTTAAGGTTGGGTAAGCCTTTGTTTTATTAAATGTTAGTGATCATAAGGAAAAGATAAGCATTTCTGGCATAAAATGTGATAAAATCTTTCCTCCAGAAAGATGGAAAGAGAGTTATTGCTATAGGAGCTATTATTGATAATAGTTATTTTTTTTTTGGGGGGGGGTTGCTGTACTACCTGGTGGAGAAGGTAGGAAAATGTGGTTTTTAGAATTCTTGAAAATATCCAGAGAAAGCAAGATGTTTGTGGTACATGCAGGATGGGGAGAAAGGGTGGGGGTACTAGGCGTTTCTTCTCTTGCCAGGCAAAGGAACATGCCCCAGTTCTTTCTGTCTCCCACCTTCTTTCTATCTCCAACAGTAAATAAAACACCTTCTCTAGTTTAGAAATAAAGAAAATGTTAACCTCTTTTTTCTTATTTTGATACCTTGTTCTATTAAAAAAAGAAAACGGTTGAAAACCATTATATGGATATACAATGAAAGAACATATGGCCCTTTTATAGCAGTTTTAATATCATATTTGTACTGTATCCTCAAGGCCTGGACCAGTATCTGAAACACAATTGTTCAGTGTATACAGGTCAATGAATTAATGCTTTCCTGGTTTGGTAATAATTGGCTCTTTATTGTTTTCAAAAATCATCTTATGATGCTTCTAAGGATCCTCTAAAACCTTAACCTAATGAATGGGGAGACATGGTTAAGTGACCTGCTGAAAGGCCCAGACTTAGGGGAAGGGCTGGAACTTAGGTCTTCTGATTCAAATCCTGTTCTTCTTTTTGTTGCTCTCTTGGCTATAATTTTTTTTTTTTTTAAATCCATTTGCCTTTTGTAAATAGGAGCATCTATAATTTAGGAGTTTCTTAAAAATTCTACATATAAGGAACTCTGGTGGTGTAGTGGATAAGGCATTTAGCTGCTAACCAGAAGATCAGAGGTTCAAACCCACCAACCACTCCGTGGAAGGAAGATGGGTTAATCTACTTCCATAAGGATTTAGAGTCTTGGAAACCTAGTGTGTGTGTATGGGGCGGGGGTTGCTATGAGTCGGAATCACCTTGATGGCAGTGAGTTTGGTTATCCTACGGATAAGGTTCTGGGTGGCACAGACCGTTTGCACTCAGCTATAAACCAAAAGGTTGGTGGTTTGAATCTAGCCAGCAGCACTGCAGAAGATAGGTCTGGTGATACGCTCTCGAAAGGTTATAACCTTGAAAACCCTTTGCCTTTCTACTCTGCAAATATGGGGTTGCCATGAGTCAGCATTGACTCAATAGCAATGTTTGTTTTTTTAATCCTACATATATTTTCATTACCATGTCCATAATTTATATGTGGATTTAATTTATCGTGGATTCACTGTTTCAGAGGATCTACCTGGTGGTTTCAGGCAGAACCATAGACAATACTTAGTTGTGTAACTCATAATTTGCCTATTATGGTTTTCTAATACAATCAACCTACATATAAATACAGGACCCATTCAGGACACATAGAAATGGCCTACAATCATTTATGTAATTGATTGCAGCACACCTTGCCTCAAAGCTTTTTCTTTCTGAGCCTTTGGTAGTTAATAAGAATAAGGAAATAAGACACTGATTTTGATTAAATTATAATAATCGGGAAGTATTGAAAAGCTTGAGATTGTCTTCTAAACCATGCTCAAGTTTTAACCATTTTTCCTGAGGGATTGTTAAGTAAGGCAAGCCAGTGAGATTCCCCACAACAGGCCTCAAATGTCGCCCTTGGTGTTTTCCCCTTATCATAGTTTAAATATTTTTGTGGCTCTTTATTTGGTTCTGTGTCTTATTGTTAGAACCAACAGCAGTGAGTTACACTGTTTTACTCAGTGTTTCCATTAGAAGTTTTGAAGGTAGATCACTGGGGGCAAAGGTAGGTTGGCTGTTACTTAAACTGATTTTTAATCCTTACATTATTGGATGTAAACATATCCACTAGTCATTTGGACCAAGGTGATTTGGGTCACTATGAGTAGGAATCAACTCCCTGGCAATGGGAGTGTTTGTTTTTTTTAAGGCGATTAGCACGCCTCATCCCTATTCTGATATAGTCCTTTCTTATACATTATTAATCCGTTGGAATAATGTGTATGTGTACTTAGGACTCACAAAGCCATATTCCATTAACTGAATTTCAAAAG